GTGAGGTTAGCTCAGCCCTACAGGCGTGTGTGATCATTTGCCACTGTGGCAGGCATGTGGCCACACATGGGGAATGCTGGGAGGGAATTGTCTGTTCCTGCCTAAGTGGGAAGAGTCCTCCCAGGCCCCTGGGCCCCTCCTTTGTCCCCAGCCTTCCTCTAGTCTGTCACCCTGCCCAGATTGGCTGTACCAGCCCCCTTCTAGCAGCCGCCCGCTACTGCTGTGTAGTTGTCCATGAGTGTGCCTGGGGTGCACCTGCACCTGTGGGGGACACAGACATCGCCTGCTCATGCAAGGGCTCCCAGGAGGCCCATGTGACAAAGTGGGTGGAGAGAATAGGAGGACTCTTGGACCTGAGAGCCACAGTGATTGTGAGGAGATTATGGAATTGGGTGGGGAGAGGATCCATGCAGAACTTGGACCGGGACCAACTGAGCCCCTCCTTCCTCCATGCATTCTATTATGTATACAGGAATGGGTACAGCCGCCCACCCCACTGTAACTGTCCGTCTCACTATAACATATATATATATATACATGCACACATACATACATACATACATACGAACATCCACCCCACTATAACTGTCCATCTTGCCATACGCATATACATACATGCACATATGCATACATACATACATAAAGCCATCCACCCCACTATAACTGTCCATCTTGCCATACGCATATACATACATGCACATATGCATACATACATACATAAAGCCATCCACCCCACTATAACTGTCTATCCCACTATACACATACACATGTGCATGCCTGCATATGTATGTACAAACCATGCACTCCACTATACAACCACTCTTTCACCCATACATACAATCGTATAACCATACATACATACATATATACAACCATCCATCTCCTCATGTATGAACGTGCATACATACCACCACCATCCACCCATCCCGCTTAGCCCATCATACAAATATGCAGACTTCCAGCCCCTCATTCATTCATTCTTCCACTTACCCAATCACCCATCCCTCCATCAGCCAGAATTTATTAACGTTGAGCTCACCATGCTATTGGGAGGGTTAAATGAGATAATGCTCACGGCCCTCCATCCTGAACAAATACCCGCCCGCCCAAAGAGCCTCCCATCCAACCTGTGTCCACACACTGAGCCAGCCTATACCCTGCCCTACCTTTCATGTCCTGCTTTCCTGCACCTCCCTGCCTCCATGTGCTTCTTTCTTCTGAACCCAAACCTGACCCCTGTGCGCCTGCACGCACTCGCTGAGCACCTCCATGTTCATGTCTTCACCTCGCCCACTCCCAGCCTGAAGTGCCTTTTCTTGCTACCCCCTCTCGGGGAAGAACCCTATTCCTGCTCCCAGCTATCCTGCACCTGCTGTGGCAGGTGCACCTGCTGTTCCAGGTGTCACTGATCACTTGCTTCCATATGCCCGTCTCCTGGCCCAGACTTTAAGCTCCAGGAGAGCAGGGACCAGGGTTTTCTTCAGCACCCACCGCAGGTCTCACCTGAGCCACAAGAAAACTCTACAAGGGGCTGAGGGATGGTGGTTCCAGGTGGAGTTAGACCAAGCCAGCCGTGTGCAGAGGATGAGCCTGGTGCCTGGTAGGGATTTACTCAGGAATATTCCGAAACCAAACCACCTAGCCAAGCTTCCGGTCGAATGGGAGACAAGGCAAGCTCATGGGGCTGGGAGCCAGGCAGGGTGTACAAAAGGAAGCCGAGCCAGGCGCAGCCCCAGAGCCTCAGGCTGGACAAGGCACTCGGTCTCCATGAGCGTTCGTCTCCGCATCGACCAAACAGAGCTAATAAAAACAGAGAGGAGAAGGAAACGCCATTACCACGAAATTGCTCTAAATTGTTTAAATACATCTTCTGAGTTCTGCGAAAAGTTTCTTAAACAGATAAAATTATTGTGAGAACTGAAATCAATGTGATTTATTGACGTAATTTTTGGAGACAGAGCCAAGTAATAGAAATTAATAAACCACTAAAAACGTATATTTATTAAAATTGAGCTTGTCATGTTATTGGGAGGATTAAATGAGATAATGCATGGGAAACAGACCCAGAAAGAAACCTGGCATGGGTTAAGTGCTCAACAAATCTGTTTTTTAATTCTATTTTGATGGTTCTGGGTAATCTTTATTGACGAGGTGATGTTTAAACTAAAGCATGAAAAATGTATAAGATTCCCATATTTTAATACTAAAAGTACTAGATATAATTTTCACCACTTTTATAGACTCTTCCAGTTTCTATGCTGGGCGGCAAGTCCCCCCAGGACTCAGCGGTGTACAGCCATCACGAGTTATGCTCACAGATTCTGTGACTCTGGACTCTGGATGGGACACAGCAGGGGCAGCTTGTCTCTGTCCTGTGGTGACTGAGGTCTCAGCCGAGACACACAGGCTGCAGGCTGAAGTCACCTGAGGCCTCCCCCGTCTGTTCAAGTATCTGGTGCTGATGCTGGCTGTCACGCTGGCTTCTGTCCCCACTGTGCCGTCTGGTTTTATGTCTGCCCAGGTTCCACGGAGCTTCCTCGGGACAGTGGGTCAATGCCAAGGACCAGGGTTTGGCCAGAATCTTCTTGATTACTTAGTGACACAGCAGTGCACCAGTGTGTTCTTTTTTTTTTTTTTTTTTTTTTTTTTTTTTTTTGGCAGAACCGGGGATTGAACTCAAGACCCTATGCTTGCCAGGCAGGCACTTATTCCACTGAGCTATCTCCCCTGCCCCAGTGTGTTCTATAGGGAGAAGAGTGACAAGCTCCTGAGACCCAAGAGGGAGGGATATAGGTCACCCCTCCCAGAATGAAGGGTGTCAGACACATTGCAAGAAAGACATTCGGAGAGGCCGATAAACATGGATGCATTCGGCTCTAGAAAGACTCAACCTTGCACCCGGATGTCATCTCATGTACTCCTCAGTTTAACTCATGAAGAAGGTACTCTGTTTTTTAAGTTTTAATTTTGCAGAAGAGAAAATTAAGGCTTTACAAAGTCAAAAGTTCTGCCCAGTGTCATGGCTTAGAAGTATCAGAGCTAGGATTTGAATTCCAATCTCAAAGTCACCTAAGCCATGTGAAAATACTGTCTACCAAATTTAGAACAAAAAGACCGATGATACTTTTTATCCTTGGAAACACTAATATGGCCATGTCACCCAGGATACTATAGAGCTATGGCATGTTGGTGACTCATAGCCTATTCTGGTGGCCTTTCAAGCAGGTGCTCAGCAAAAATAGAGGCGCTGAGGTGGGAAGGACAGTGTGTGGAATCCAGGGCGGCAGGACACGGTGTGGGCCCCATGGCAAGAAAGGTCGGTTGGGATCCAACTGGGAGGGACCCATCTGGTCAAAGGTCAACGAAGAGATGCTGCCACCCCAGAGCAGGCGAGCCATGTGGTCAGAACACTGATGAGGAGCTGTGTGCAGCCCGAGGCCTTTGCATGAGAAGGGCTACAGGCCACAGCTTTCTGGGTCTTAGTTTCCTCATGGCTCCCCTTTAAGCAAAAGGTCCCCTAGCCTAAGCCACCTGGACGACTCCGACCATGGCAGTTATTGTTTCTCAACTCCCTGACACCATGGCCTCTTCTTCCTCTCCTCCCCTTAGAGCTCTCCAGCCTGGCTGCCCCTTAGTGTCCCCTCCAGAGCCTTTAGTTTTCCCAAAGGAAGAATGGTTGGGGGGGAGGGGGGACCCAGGCATTTGGTGTTTCTAAAACTGCTCAGAAGCTCCAGGCAAGGTCAAGAACGCTGTGTTGCTGAAGACAGCAGGGCTCTTCTGGGCGGTTCATCTCAGTCACCCGGGGCTGGGCTCACCCACTAGCATCCTCCTTTCCTCCTCCCCAGGCCACAGACAATCCTCCCGTCATGCACCTGGTCTTTGTTCTTGCCTTGCTGATGCTGCTGTTCACCCAGGTTGGAGGCATCTGGCCTGTACTTTTGCTTCCTCCGTCCCTGAACTTGGGTCCCTTTGGGGTCACATTGTCCCCTTGGTCTTCAGCATAGCCTCTCTGCACATGATTCTCACGCCTCCTCTCCAGTTGCCCCCTGCGCCCCAAGGTGCAGTTTCCAACAGTTTGTTGGGTATTTCTGCCGGGGGTCCCTTTGTCACCTCTCCAACAAGTCCTCCTTCTTGCACGCCTGGTTCTATTTGTTGCTTCCACCACTGCCACCGCCCTGCCCCCGTCAGATGAAGGAGCCGACGCCCTTCCTGGGTGTCCTGCTAGATTGCTGGTTCTGACCCAGCAATGGTCCAGGTGGGCTGAGACGCTGCCTGTCTGCTGGTACCAGGATGGTGCCGTGGACTCACAGACCACACCTGCGTTACCTGGGATGCAGACTGATTTTACAAAGGCATGGTAGAATCTCGATGCCCCTTTCCATGGCCCCTGGCCCAGGCCGCTGCTCTGAGAATCAGTCCCTGCACCCCAGCCCCAGCGGCGTGCACACACCCCCAGGCACCCGCGAGGACTCCTCCCCACCACACAGCACCACATCCCAGACCCCAGTCGCTCCAGTGTGACCCCAAGGGCACAGAAGTCAGACCCTAAGACCAGCCCCTCCTGTGCCAAAAGCAACACCACAGGGCAGAGGAGAAGTGGCAGTCCAGTTCCAGAGTTCGAGGTCAGAATTGCTTCTTAGCCACACAAGCCTGGACAAGTTAATTAAGCAGAGCTGTTTTAGTGGTTTTTTCAGTTATAAGAGGTGTGAAATAATGGTCAGCCTCTTGTGGTGGCTGGGCAAAATCAATTGGCTCAAGGACAGATGGATACGTGTGGATGGAAAATGCAAACTCATGAAGAAGCAGCTAGGTGCAGTTGTGCGTTCAATGGGGAGGTGGGGTGGGCTGAGGTGCTCTGACCACATGGCGCCCTCTTGCGGTGCCATCTTGTCTGCCTCGTGTCATCCTCCTGCTGTGGACAATGTCTCCCAGTACAGAGCAGCCGGTGAGGCTGGCCTCCTCCCCGCCGCTGACCCCCCGGTTGCCTTCTTCCGCTGCAGACATGGGGAGCTTCGAGGAAGGTGAGAAGCGCCAGAGTGTTTCCCACGGAGAAGCCGCCGTCGTCCGCGCCCCACGCATTGCCAGCTTCCCCCGGCCGCAGGTGACCTGGTTCCGTGATGGTCGCAAGATCCCACCCAGCAGCCGCATGTGAGGCCCTGCCGCGCGGGGACAATGAGGGGGGCTGGGCCTGGGGGAAGAGCGCTGGGCCTGATGTGAAGCTCCCCAGGTGTGAAGCCTCTGTCTGGGCTAGCCTGAGGACCTCTGGGATGGGGACAGAAGTTTAGTGTCCAAGGGACTTTCTTGGAATCTTCCTGTGAGGAGTTGAGATTCTCTGGGAATCTGGGGCATTACCTCTGTGCTCAGCAGGAGACCAGTTCTCCAAGAGGACTTCAAACACCCAAACATGCACACCACACACACACACACACACACACACACACACACACACACACACACAGGCCCAGGATGTGAGCCAGCAGTGCTAGGGTGGTGGAGGCTGGGTGTCACCACCGCAGACAGGGGTGTAGTAAGTGTGCGCTGGGGTACAAGGGCTGTGTGTGTTTGATTGTGAGGAATCGGTGTGGTCACGGGAGGCCTGGAAAAAAGACATGCAGTGCTTTCCGTTAGCACAAGAACCCCTCTGGGTGCCCCCTGCCTTGACACTGGCTTGTAGGCAGGAGAGGCAGAGCCAACACTACCCCCTCCACAGAAGGCAAGAAGCACAGCGTCCCTCCAGACCCTGTCCTCAACCCCTGATCCTGGTCGGGGTCAGAAGCCAGCCCTAGACTCTACTTGCTGTGACTCTAACTCCCCGCTACCCCCAGGACGACTTCCTCCTGCTGACCTTCGGGGCTACGTTTTAGAGTGGGCGGAGCCTATCCTATTCTGTAGGGAGCGGAGTGAGACACACCTTTGGGGAGTATTAAGTCCCATACTGGAAGTACAATTACATAACAGTGTTACAGTGATGATCGTGGCTGTTGTTTATTGAGGGACCGCTACAGTCTCAGGACCACGCTGGACACACGTACATCTTTTCTCGAGAAGCTGCCCTCCACGATGCATGAGGCTGTCTCAGTCTCCTCCTCTTTCGCATCCCCAGAACACCCCAGACTAGTTGCTAAATCCATGACCCTCACAACTGCCCCAGGAATTGGCTGGCTTTTCCTCCCTATACAGCCAATCCAGTGGAGCTCCCAAAGTTAGACTACTTGGCCAGATCTCACACAGCTGGCTCTCGCCCTGCTAACTCTAGGCTCAGGGTCTGTAACTCTTGCCTTCTGGGAAACCTATGTATGAACAGGCATGCAGACTTGAAGGAGGGATTCCGCTTGGGAAAGCTAGTCCTGGCACACAGAGTCTCAACCTGGCTACCTGTGGAACTCTTTTGGGAGTTTTGGAATCTGCTGATCCTTAGATTCTACCCTAAGGCATTTTGATTTAATTAAAATGGGGGATAATTTGGTCATCATAATTTTTAAAACTCCCCAGGTGGTTCTCATGTGCAGCCAGTGTTGAGAATTTATTATGTATCAGTCAGCTATAGCCTCAATAATGCTGCATAACAAAACATACCAAATGCTTCTAAAATAATAAGGACTTGCTGTATTTTTCTTAGGAGTCTGCAGGTTGGTGGTTGAGACCGGGCTCACCTGGGTGCTTCTTCTGGTCTTGATTAGGCTCATTGTTCTGGGGTTAGCTGGATGGCCTCATGCTAGATATGACAGGTGACTTAGCTGTCCTCCACATGTCTCCTCCTCCTGCCAGCTTGCCCTCAGATGTTCTTGGGCAGTTACAGAGGTGCAGGAGAAGAAGCAGAAACATGAATTTTGGGACCTTTGCTGGCATCCCATTGGCCAAAGCAAGGACACGGTAGAACTCAGGATCAAGAGGTGCTCTATGTCCATCTCCTGTGCCATGTGATGGAGGGAGAAGGCCACAGGCACAGGGCTCAGGGGTGACACAGAGCAAGGGAAAGGCCGGGAGGGGCGCCCCAGGTGGAAAGTGGACTCACTGTGAGAAATGTCATGGCCTCTGGGCCTGCCTAATGCTCAGTAAAGCAGCAGAATGGGTGTTGGGATTGTGCTGTGCCACACAGGTGCTGGGTCAGTGAGTCCCATCCCGTCCTCACTCCCTTTCTGAGGTTGCCCATGTGTTTCGGGGATGGCACCCTGTAAGCCAATTGGTCAGTGATGGCTGCCTGAACACTGCAAACACAGGAGAGGAAGCACCGAGATGCCCCTGTGCACTCAGGGCAGACATTGCTAATCGATCATGATGTTCTTTCCCGAGGCTAGATGGGGCCTCAGAATGCTTTTCAACACAGTGTTATCCTTTTGCTAGCACCTTCCTGCCTCATTTTTCATCTCTGGTCTCTGTCTTTTTGCTCTCTGTCTCTGTCTGTCTGTCTGTCTGTCTGTCTGTCTGTCTGTCTCTCTCTCTCTCTCTCTCTCTCTGTCTCCCTCTCTCTCTCTTTCTGTCTCTGTCTCTGTCTCTGTCTCTGCCTCTGTCTCTGTTTCTCTCTTTCTCTGTCTCTCTGTCTCTGCCTGCCTCTGCCTCTGTCTCTCTGTCTCTGTCTCTGTCTCTCTGCCTGTACCTCTCTCTGTATGTCTCTCTCTATCTCTCTGTCTCTTTTTCTCTCTGTCTCTCTGTCTCTCTGTGTGTCGCTCTGTCTCTGTCTCTTTCTCTGTCTCTGTGTCTTTCTGTCTCTGTCTCTCTGCCTCTCTCTCTGTCTGTCTCTCTGTCTCTCTGTCTCTCTGTCTCTCTGTCTGTACACCTGTCTATCTCTTTCTCTCCATCTCTCTGTGTCTCTCTGTCTCTGTGTCTGTGTCTGTCTGTCCCTCTCCCTCTTCCTCCATCTATCTATTTATCTATCTATCTATCTATCTATCTATCTATCTATCTATCTCTCCCTCTGCCTCTCTGTGGTGTCCCTCATTCAGGATAGCACCACCCTGCCCTGATCACCGCAGGCCTATTCACCTGCTCTACCAAGTATGAGCTAGAGCACTTGGGCAGCTTTACCTTGGTGATTGCCATAGATTAATTGTCATCACTGAGCAGATAGGACTCTGGGGGAGGTTCCCTGGGGGCTGGATGCCTGAGCTCTGTATCTGACGAACGCTATGGTCCAGAGAGGCTGCAGGCCAAGGAGGACACTGCTATCCACAGAGGGCTGCTGCCAGCACAGGCAGGACAAGGATTAGTGCCACCTCAGGAGTGCCAGAACTCACTATTGAAAAAGAAACAAGATTCCTGACAGAGATGCAAGCTGGGAACTTTGGGCACATTCTAGGATGACTTATTTTATTCCTAATTAAATGGTGGATTAGGTTCCCACTGAGCAGAGAAGAGGGAGAGAGTGGAGAGGAGCAGTTGATGGGAGGTGGGTGGGGCGGGGCCTACAGGGGGGCCAGACAGGGCCTAAAACCGTGCAGCCAGGGGTGTGGCCAAAAAGATAACTCGCGTCCCCTGCAAGAGTTGAGCACGGCTGTCTGTGCCCCCAGAGTCCAGCCCCAGCTTCTCTCGGTGTGGGTACACCTGGGCCCGGCAGCCTGGATGCCCTCCCAGGGGCCGCAAGCAGCTGTGTGTGTGCTGGCAGTGAACCATGGTGCTGTCCCTCGCCTGTGCATCAAGGGGACAGTCATCATGCAGACAGCTGCAAGCCCAAGGACTTCCTGGCCTTCCGCGGGGGTCGAGGAGGTGGGAGGAAGGCCTCTGGGCCTCTGTTGCACTCTGTGCTCAGGGCTCAAACCCATGCCCTGCAGGATCCAGGCCAGCTGCTGCACTGCAGGCAGATCCCAGGTCCCAGGGACGGGACACAGAAGGTGATATCTGCCACATGGCCCGTCCTACTTGGGGGAGCACAGAGCACCGTCCCCTCCGCTTAGGTGCTCAGGGCTCAGGCTGCTGGGACTGTGCTGTCATGGGAACAGGCCTTCCCAGCCACCCTGCTCTGACAGAGTCGGGGGGAGGCAGAAGAACAGTGCAGGGTCCCTGGGGTCCAACTCTGGAGCATGCATGTCCCCTCCTCCATGTCACTGGGATCCAGTGGCTACAGTTCTCTCTAGGTCAGGAACCCAGCCCTGAGCTGGCCATCTCAGCCATCTCTACGTCCACCCCACCTAGCATGGCCTCTCCATGGGTCAGTCCATTTCCCATGGCCAGGCTGGGTAAAGGGCTGAGGTTGGGCCATGACTCCACAGGTGCGGGTCGAGGCCCATATCTGGTGTTGGCCTTCATGCCTGGCAGGGTGGTGTAGGATGTCACGAAACAAGAGACTGGGCACGCGCACGTGTGTCTGTCTGGCGTCCCTCTTCCTTTCAAGTCATCAAGATGGAGTCACAGGGCTCCACCCTGGTGACCTTGTCCAGCCCTAACCCCTTCTCAAGTCTCCACACTCTCACACCATGTAAGATACATTTCCAACATTTGAGCCCCTAGGAGATGCCTTCAAACCACACCGAAGCCACAGCACTGAGCTATGCCACACAGGGGCTGTCTGTCATTCTCCCCTAGCAGGCTGACCCATGCACTGGGCGACTCTTACATGGCAGCATTCCTGGCTTCTGCCACACTAGCTCTGAGTAGCACCTTCATATCTCTGCCAAACAAAAGTGTGGACATTATCAGTGTCCCCTGGACTGCAAGGTCATCCCTGGTTGAGGACCACTGGGCAGGAAAAATTATCATAATATTAAAACATAACTAAGGAAGAGGATGGGTTATGAAGATTCTTCCTAATCAAGAAGGAAGGAAATTAGAGGGAGGGGCTCCTTCCCTGGAAGCCAAAGGTGGCTCAGGATGGGTGGTGAAGAGCCTCCCTTAGGCCCACCCCAGACTGGCAAAGAGTGTGGCTGGGTGCTGGACCTTGTGGATGCCAGTGCATCACTACTCACAAAATTTTCTCCACCCTGAAGCCAAACTGAACCAGGTGAGAGCTACGGATGGGTTGCTTGGGCCTTCCTGAGAGATAAATGGTAACAGCAACAGGACCCAGCAGCCTTCAGCCTCAGCCTGGAGGAAATCCTGGCACACACTTGCTCCCACCTTTGCAGAGATGGGGCAGCAGGCCCAGCCATGAGGAGGCAGGTGCCCCCAGCAGCTGGGTCCTCACCCCCTGCCCAGTCACCCTGCACCCAGCAACGCAGAGCCCAGACTGTCTCCCTGAGCCTTCAGCCACCCACATGCTACCCCAAAGGAGAGTTCCCTGCAGCAGGCTCACAGGAGGGAGCGTGGTCACCATCCTGACCCCGTATGGCCACCTTTACAATATATCAGCCTGGCTCTGGTCCCAATCCCTACCATCTCATTAGCTGGGGATAAAAAACAGCTTTCCAGAAAAAGACCAAAAAAGTGGGCATCATTAGCTTCTATGCCTGGGAAAGGGGTTCCCGCCCTCCCACCAGAGCTCCACTGATGGGGTGGGTCCTTGTAGACAGAGCCCCCAAATCAAGAGAGGGACACTGCACACTCGGGCTGGAAGAGAACTGGGCTGGAGAGGCATTAGCAGGAATGTTTATTTGAGAGCCTGCTTAAAACTCTGTTACATTCACCTAATGGGAAAATTTGAAAAGAATTCAACTGGATTTGTCCTTGTTAAACTAACATTAAGGATGTTTAACAGCTGTCTCGGGCACATCGCATTACAATCCGGAGATAGACTTGGCAATCTAATGGCTTTGTTGTCATCAGGAGAATGGGCGAGAGGCGTAGGCAGAGTGGGGTGGGCAGTGCTCCCCGCAGCACAGCGTCTGCGTTAAAGGGGACCCCAGTTTCTCTGTCTGGGGGAGTTGGCCTGCTGAGGGGCTGCATGATGAGAGCCCAGTAAAGGGAGCCGGGCTGGGGACAAGTGGCCCATCTCAAGCTCCTCAGCATAGCCGCCCGCCCTTTATCCTGTTAGCCAGCCCGGCTGACCCCGCACGGGTTCTCAAGCTTGGGAAGGGGGAGACTGATCCCCAGGGAGAGGGCAGGAGGGAGACAGGACCCTAGAAGTCTGCTTCAGGTGACCTGTGGCTTCCAAGTCAGCCTAGGAAGGAGAGGGCTGCGGCCAAGGCAGCGACTCTGGAATGATCCTGCACCATTCTGTGTCTGCCGTTACCGCCCATCACGCACTCATCCGTTCCGTGAATGTGTCCCTGGTGCCTGGATGCTCAGGCGCTGAAACAGTCTCACAGAGCCATCAGGGCTGTGTCATGGGAAAGGACAGAATTCCCTGGGAGACTGGGGAGGAGGAGGCCCCGAGCCAACCCTTGGGGTGGGGCTAGGAAGCTTTCCGGGGTAGCCTCAGCTTCTGGGTGTCAGTGCACCCTATTCCGGTCCTGGCTTCCGCTCCCAGGGGGCGACAAGCCCCTCCAGCTGCTGTCAAGGAATCCGTTTCCTCTTCCTAGAGCCATCACACTGGAGAACACCCTTGTCATCCTGTCAACGGTGGCTCCTGACGCAGGCCGCTACTATGTGCAGGCTGTTAATGACAAGAACGGAGATAACAAGACCAGCCAGCCCATCACTCTCGCCGTGGAGAGTAAGTAAGCGCAGGGCCCGGACGTCTTGGAGCGGGTCATTAAATCTTGGGAATGGTGCTCCAGGGGGTCGTTGGGAAGATGGAATGGAGGGGCAGGGCGGGGTGCAGCAGCAGCAGGGGGCCCTCCCAGGGAGGAGAAGAGCGAAGCTGGGTGCTGTGCTCTGGTGCAAGTTCTAGGATGCAAGCAGGAAGGAGCAGAGCTCTAGAACATGGTCTGAGGCCCTGTAGCGGGAGATGGGGCTCTTGCCCCAGCTTTTGGCAGGGCCACCAAGGCCTGAGGAGGGGAGGACCAGCAGGAAAGAGGGTGCCTGTGTGGGTCACAGCCATCCTGGGCTCAGGTGCTGACAGAAAAAGCACCCAGGGATCAGAAGCTTGTTTAAAAAAAAAAAAAATACACTAAAATACAGCTGCCTCTGCTCAGCTGGCAAAACACTGTTTTTGCTTGGAGCCAAGCATCTCCCAACAATAAGAACTTAGGCTTTCCCCCAGCTCCTACCTAAATGCACAAATCTGCCTATCCTCAGATGCCCCAGGGCCATAAAGGGAACCTCCTTTAGAGACTTCAGGCAGAGATTTGTCCAGCCGAGACTGGAGCCAGGGATGTGGTGCCAGGCCTGGCTCTGCCCTGTCAGGCTAGGTGCTGCCCTCAGGGACAGAGAAGCAGGTGGGGTGGCTGGGGTGCCAGCCAAGGCTGGGAGTCACGGAGACCTAATCCAAGCACGTGGGGTGGTATGAGTGCTTCCTGAAGCAGCCAGTACCACGCGAGCTGAGGGAGCCAGATTTTCACGTCCCCCCACATCTGCACCATGCCCGTGTTCCCAAAGCGATCTCATTTATCATCCATGGTCACACTGGTGGGTACCCACCGGGCAGCAAGACAAGGGCATGGGCAACCAGGGCCCTTCTGGAACCTTCCCCGGATCCCAGCCTCTGTCTGTCAGTGCCTCCATTGCCCACAATGTTCCTGGCCTGTGCCAGCCCCATTCCTGGACCTTCCAAGCTCCGAAGGGATGCCTCCCCAAATTCCCAGATTCCCACTTCTGCCTTCTTTCTTCCCAAGTCCCAGCCTACCTGGAAAGACACAGGGTGGAGGATCTGTTCTGGCTACTGACCTGTTCATCAGAGTCACAGAGTAACTCCCATTGACCTGAGCTCAGTTCTCAGACGAGGCTAAAGCCCAAACCCCAGCCATGCACAGGATAGGGCTGCCTTCCTTCCTTCCTTTCTTTCTTTCTTTCTTTCTTTCTTTCTTTCTTTCTTTCTTTCTTCTTTCTTAGTATAGGGTCTACAGAGGCTCACTACCCATATCGGACTTGTAGTGATTCTCCTGTTTTCAGCCCCCCAAGCACTGGGATTACAGGCACATGCCACCATGCCCAGTCTATGTCGCCATCTCAGCATGCCCAGGGGCCATGGCCAGCATGGCACACCAGGGATAGAACCCTGGTCCCTGTACCTGTACAGCTGCTGTTTCTATGGGGAAAAGAAACTGAGTCACAAAAGGAGAGCTTTTGCCCGTGTACTTCCCAATGATCATAATATCCTAAGACTCGCGGCACCTGTTGGTTAGAGACAATGTCACAGATGCAGAGTGACTCAATGCCCAAGCCAAAGCCAGACATCTTTCTGCATGCTAACCCAGGGTTAGCGAGCCTTTGCTGACTTCGTCTCCCATTGCCAAGCTCCCCCTAGGAGTCAGCACCACTGACTCTGGAGTTGCTCATTCTCTGCCCCACCTCTAACCACCCTAGCCACCTGGCGGGCCCAAGGTGGGAGAGCAGGGCCCCTCCATCCCCCGTCTGCCAGTACCTCGCCAGCTGTCTGTTTCTCCCACGCCGCCGTCACTCCTTAGCTCCTGCGCCCATGCAGTGATTTGCGCTAGACTGAGAGGAGAATCGGCTGATGTTTAGCTAATTTCCCCTCCCATGAGTGATTGCACTTCAAAACCCTGTTCCTCACTCTGACACAAATTCCCCAGCTTGCCTGCCTGCCTGCCAACTGATTTGTAAGGAGCAATTGCCACCTCGCCCACAACCAGCTCCGGCTCCCTTTGGTCCCCCACTAGCCGCCCCGCCCCTCCCTCCCCCACCCCGTCCTCCATGCTGCTCTGCTCTAATCCTGCAGGTCTTCTCTTAGCAACCTTCTGGGACTCTACATTCCTTGGAAATGGGGGAAGAAAGAACAAAGCTGGGGACTCCAGGCATTGAGCCTGGCCAATGAGTAACCCAGGACACTTCACATGGACCACAGCCACTGTCCCCACACCTCCAGATCAGAGCCACCCTGTCCCACAGAAAAAAGTGTTCAGTAACCCTGTTTTTCACAAAGTAAAAAGAAATAGGTGGAATTCATTTTATGAATATATTTTATTTAACCAAATGTATCCCAAATATCCTCTTATATACCATGAATGCAAAAAACATTAGTGGGGTATTTTCCTCTGGGCTTTTGCATGCTAAGTCTTTGGGATCTGTGTGTATTTTACACTTCCAGCACATCTCAATTTGGAATGCTCAATTTTCATCTGAAATACGTGATCTGTATTTCTATTTCATGAAATTTACAGCTGAAAATGTAGAGTCTTATGCCCAAGTTGCTCCACACATACTTAAAAGTGTTCTAATAACTGAATTGGGGAATCTGTTTTTAATTAAATGTAAATTAGTTAAAATTAAATCAAAGGGACATTGGCCGCATTTTAGGTGCTGGGGAGGCACATGCAGCTTTTGGCCTTATGTGGGACAGTCCAGGTTTTAAGGCCCAAGTGCCCCAGTCTGCAGGGGTGGCTTCAGGGCAGGGCCTGGGATCCTGCCCAGGGAGAGATGGGAGGCAGCACACAGCCTTGCCCTCCACCCATAGGACCTGTAGCCAAAGAGGCCACATGGTCCCTGAGCCTTAGCTACCCTCTTCTATAAAGTGCTGCCCATGGCAGAGCTGGCAGCATTAACGAGATGTTGTGGGGAGAATGGATCACCCCCTTGCTGAGGCTGTCAGGAAAATCATCCAGGCTACTGCCTCCAGCGTAACCTGGTGTAGGAAAGCCATCTGCATCCTCCTGCCCCGGAGGCCCCATCATGCCCGTTATGGCAGGAGTACATGCAGAAGAACCTCCTCCTTGCTTGGGCCTGCCTGTGATTTCTCTTTTAGTCAGTTAATTAGTTAGTTAGTTAGTTAGTTAGTTAGTAAGTACAGAGTCTCCCTACACAGCTCAGACTCATAGTGATCCTCCTGTTTTCAGCTTCCCCTGCGCTGGGATTACAGGTGTGCGCCACTGCGCCCGGTCTCGAAAGCTGACTGGGCATGGAGCTGACACCAGAGATCGAACCCGGGTCCTTGCGTTTGCCAGGCAGGTGCTTAAACCACCAAGCTATCTCCCCAGCCTCTATGATTTTCATAGGTTAGCCTTCGGTGCTCCCCTCACCCCAGTATTCCCCCACACCGCCAACCTGGAGCAGATTGCACTTAGAGAAAACCTCTGCCAGAACCACCCTGTGCTGACTTAGGTGGCCTTGGTGGGGAGGGGCTCAGCCCCCTCCTTCCAGGTGACTCCAGAGTCTCCCTTCGGCTTCTTGCCATCTTCTAATTCCAAGCTGGAAGGGCTGTGCACTTGAGCACTATCTAAGGCGTGAGCTGAATGAGGCACATGTCCTGCGTGGGTGCCCGAGCTGTCTGCCTCCCTACCTGGGGGACGCCCGCAGACAGATGACTTAGCACGTCCTGCGCAGCACAGGGTGCCCAATAATCAGGTGTGTCCCGCAGGGGCTGAGCCACGCCCACTCACCGGTCGCTTTTTACGACAGTCTTCACCACAATTGTGCGAGGCGGGGGATGAGTAGCAATAATTAACCCCGTTTACAGATGAGCAAGCTGAGGGAATCAGCCAGACAGAAGGTGGAACGCACTTCCAAGGGCATTGGCTGGGCCCTAACAAAAGCAAGCATGGGACCCAGGCTTCGCTGCCCCCACAGCCCGCACCTCAACTACTTAGGGTCTCATGGAGCAATCTCAGGAGCAAAGCTGACGTCCCTTTCGGGCTGCTCCCCACAGAAAGGCTGCTGTTGCCTCCTCCTCTCGGGCTGTAGGGAGTTTCTCCCAGCCTGTACTACCACTCTGGCATCTCTGGCACCCGCTATCCGACTCTCAGCTCTGTCTGTCACCACCCATTCCCTGAGCTTCCCCCACCTGCTGCCCACCCTGTGTCCCCCCACTTTATGCTACGTCACTTCTTCCCCCACCCCAGTGAAGCAGCCCAGCACCCAGGGCTTGGCTGTGATCCTCCCATGCCCCTTGGGCCTGGCAACCAGATCTCCCCTAACACCCCAATCTCCCCTGATGCCCCTGCATGTCCCCCAACAGCAGGGCTCAGTCGGTGTCTCTGCACCTCCCCACTCTGATGTCCTGTCACCATCTCAGAACCTCACAACAAAATCCAATCTCATCGCCCTCAGAATCCCAGTCCCCTTTGCTCTGTCAAGGGGTTGGCCCGTCTTGGGGCAGCTGGTCTCTAACACCTAGCCCTTCTACCTTCCTCCACCCGAACCCCTGTGGATGTGTCCTCCTGTCTGCCCTCCCATCTGAGACCCTGGGGCTGACTCCGAGCACAGAGCCCAGCTCCTAGGTCTTCTGCCATCAGGTCCCAGGCCAACGTTTCCCAACCAAATGGGAATGGGACATGGGTTTCACCTCGCCTGCCAGCTCTGCCTCTTGTTGCACTGGGTGGGTTGAGGATTCTGAGCACCCTGCTGGGCTCGGCTAATGGAAGCACTGGGGCCGATCACATGTTCTCCTGCAGCAGAGGGTAGCAGCTTCGAATGGAGCCACAGGCCGGGCCAAGCCCACGGTCTCTGCACTAGCTCCCCTCCTGCCTCCTGGTGTTCTTGGGGCCACCCTTCCCCATGGTACTCCTACACTAGTGTCCCCCTCCTTTGCATCCTACTCAAGTCCTACGTCCTGCCTGCAGCTGTTTCCCTGCCCATCCCCAGTGAGTGCTGAGGCTCCACTTGCCATCCTGGAGCCCATGTATACATGGACCCCAAGCATCTGTGACTTCCACCTCTCTGTGGCCTCGGGATGTGTCACTAGACCTGGGGCAATGGGAAGCTGTTTTCAGCCCAGGCAGGTAAATCCCCAGGAGCAGGGACCATCCTGTGTAGAGCACCTGCTGTGTGCCACCTCACCCCAGCCAGCTGAGCAACCCACCTGGGGACCCTCTTTCCCAGCTCCTGGCATATGCCAGGCACTCACCAGGACAGACCTGGGGGTGGAGGCTGGGTTCATAGAGCCCTGAGCAAAGCAGTGTGTTTTGTCCCACATGAGCCACCAAGAAAACAAAACAAAGTAACCCACTGAGGTCACCCCAGGACACTTGGCACAGAGGGAGGCTTTGAACCCAGGCTTCCCTAGACCCTGCATCCCCGCCTGGGATCCCAGCCCTGCACTTGCCCCTCCATCCTGCCCCATCCAACGGGCTCCCTGGGTCCCTGGCCACCTCCTATACCAGCTCGCCCGCTACAGCACACCTTCCTCCAGGGCCGTCTGCAGGCGCTCCAGCTCGCCTCTAACTGTCTGCCTCCTCCTCGCGCTCCATTAATCTGGGCCGTGGTACCTGCGCGCCCCGGCATGTAATAAACAACTTAGAGCACACTTTTATGGATTCAGCTATATCAGCAGCTTTCAATCCGATCGCTCTTTATGGTACCTACATGAGACTTTTATATTGTTGCAATTACTCTGCTTTATATGCTTCCTTTCTTGGCCCTTCGTTTTACTTTATTTTTACATTTTATTCCCGTTCTTGCTGAGCCTTTTCTAGCAAGACCTGGAGTCCAGGTGGGAAAGCCTGCCCAGGGCTGACTGGGGTGGCCCAGAGTGGCATCAGACTTCTGCCTGCCCCCTCCCACCCCGCAAAGGACGCCTCATCACCGTCCACCCTGGGCCATGCAGGCCAGCATGGCTCATCACCTCCAGAGCCTCCTGGAACAAGGCCAGTTGGGTAGATTTGTTATAAGAGAAAAAGTCCTCAGAGGTTGTGTTTTCAGGAGCTATTGAGCAGGTGTACAGAGACTATTGGAGTTCCTGCCAATACTGGGCCTACACTGACCCATAAAGAAAGAGCCTGGCCACCTCCTGAAGAATCAAACCCTTAGGAAAGGAAATGGTACCACTGTGATGAGAATAGTCGGTTGTTTTTTTGTTTTGTTTTGTTTTGTATTTTTCAATGAAACCTGCTCCCGGGAAGCTCACTTTAATTTCAGCATGGAGCCTGGGAGCGTCAGCAGGAGAGCACCAGCTCCACTCATGGCTCACTAGAAGGTACAGTGCACCTACTATGTGCCAGGTGTCGCTGTTGGTGTCACTGTCTGTGGTGGCAGCAGAGCCATGAGCCAGCTCCAGTGTCGCAGCGAAGCCTCCAGGCTGAGCATAGACACAGACAGTCATTCTCAAAGTGTTGGAGGCCAGAAGCCTGAGATCAGGGAGCCAGTGTGGTCAGGATCCAGTGAGGGCCAGAGAGAGAGAGATGGATTCTCACAGCCCACCCTGGGATCCTACCTCTAGTGCACCCTGTAGCCTACATACCTTACCCAGAACTCCCACCTCTGCATCCCATCGCGCTGGGGTAGGGGTGACAACAGAGAAGCAGACATCAGACACAGTTCTGTCCATGGGAAGGATTCACAAGGTTTCTGCCCCTGAAAGTCTCTTGCAGCCCCTGTATCAAAGCATCAGTACCTAGGTGGCTTGTTACAAGGACTGACTCCTCTCTGGTCTGGAGCCTGGGTTACAATAACAAGGTGTCCACAGGGCTGTGCCTCTCCTGAAGTATGCAGGAAGGAACCTGTCTGCCTCCCGATGCCCAGTGGCTTTGGGCAGCCCTGGGCATTCATTCCTTGGCTTGTAGACACATCTCTCCCATCTCTATCTGTGCCTTCCTGTGGCTTCCCTCCTTTGCATCTGTGTCTAAGTTTTCCTCTTCTTGGGGCCGGGGAGATGGCTCAGTGGAATAAGCGCTTCCCTGGCAAGTGCAAGGGCTTGAGGTCAATCCCTGGTTCTGCCAAAATAAATAAATAAATAAATTTTCCTCTTCTTATAAATAAGGACGCCAGTCCCATTGAATCTTGAGCCTGCACTATCTCAGTGTAGCCTCATCTTTGTGCTACATCTGCAAAGACCTTCTTTCCAAATAAGGTCACCTTCATAGCTGCCCAATTGGCATGAATGGGGCCGGGGGAGCTATTCAACTCAGATTGGGGAGTTTGCACTCAGGTGGAGGAATCAGACAGCTGAGATGTGAACCTAGAAGGTAAATTGAGTCAAAGAGAAGGGTTGCCAAGGCAGCAAGACAGGGCAAAGTGAGGAGGCAGGTGGCATGGCTGACTTACAAGAGGGGGAGGAGACAGGCCTTCCTTCATGGCCAGTAGGGTCCCCAGCAAGCTCTCCCTGGACACTGGCATAGCAGCTCATTGCAGAGAAGGATGGGAAGTGACGACAATCCCTGGGGGAATGGGCCAGAGGCTCCACTCTGAAGCCACTCCACGGCCATCTGCTCCACACAATGATACTCATGTCCCTCGGACCACTGGGGAGTCAGGCCAGCCAGGCAGGGGTGCAGGTCCTGACCTGTGCCCCAGCTAACACCTGGCTTCTCCCCAGATGTTGGGGGGCCCGCTGACCCCATCGCACCAACGATCATCATCCCCCCCAAGAACACCAGTGTGGTGGCCGGGACCTCGGAGGTGACCATGGAGTGTGTGGCCAATGCCAGGTGAGTGGTGCCCCTGCTCTCTCCCTGTCCCTCCTAATGCCACCCACCCCATGGGGGAGCACTGCTGAGAGTCAGAAAGACCCTCAAGCCAAGCATAGTGGGGCACGCCTGTAATCATAACACTCAGGAGGCTGAGGCAGGAGGATCGAGGCCAGCCTGAACTATATAGAGAGACCCTGTCTCAAAACTCAAACAACAAAAAGAAAGACAGCAGGACCAGTCACTCTCCAGGGCTGAGGGAAGACAGCCAGGCACCACGGGAAAGCTCCTTGGAGAGGGGGCGGTGGCTCACAGAGCTGAGCCCTCCCCACCCACAGGGGAGGGTGCAAAAGATGCAAGTGCGGGGCAAACACGGTGGCGCTTGAGAGTGGACTCTTGGAGGAGGCTGATGCAGGATCTCAGCTGAAGGTGAGCCCGCATGACTTAGCAGGCCCCTCTGCGTCTCAAAATAAAACAGAGTCATGAGTTTAGCTCAGTGGTAAGGCCCGTGCCTAGCATGCACCAGATCCTGGGTTCCATCCTCGGCGCTATGAAAAAGAAAGTGTGGACTCTGAGTGGGGAACCTGGGCCAGGTTCCATTGTGGCCCCCCAACCCCCCACATGGGAAACATTAAATCACCCCGAGCCCCTGCTTGGTGACAGTGTTCACGGTGCTCCTCAATGACAGTGTCCACGGTGCACAGCATGGGTGGCAAGACCCTGCAGCCCAGAAAAGGCAAGCCACTGGCCCAAGGTCCCCCAGCCAGCCCTAGCAGTGAATCTCCAGGGCTGCCCCTGGGCCTAAGCTCACTGCCCTCCTGGCCTCAGCGCCCGCCTCTGAGAAGGAGGTGTGGCCTGCGCACAAACCTCACCTTTAGGCTCGAGGGGAGAGGCTGACCCCAGCGGGACTGGATCCTTCCTAACTGCTCCGGAAAGAACAGCCTAAGTGCAAGGGCCTAAATTCAATCCCTGGTTCCGCCAGTCACCCCTGTTTCTGAGAGCATGCCTCACGTCAGCCAGGTTTCTCGCGAGCTTGGAAGACGTGGATGGACCCATGGGAAAGGCCCTGAGAAGCCCTGTAGTGGAAACTGCCGGGCTTTTTCTAGCCAAACAGGACCACAGATGGATGCCCTTCTTCAGGGGACCTTCTGAATCCATCCTCCCCCCAGCAGCTTCACAACCTGTCCTTGGGGACCCATGGACCAAATCTCCGGGATGTGAAGGGCAGGAAGACACTGGGGCAGGCGCCTTGGTTTGCTGGAGCCCCCATCAGGGCTCTCCACTCTTCCTCCTCAGCCCCTACTCCAGGGCATTTCTTGCACTAACCCACTCATCTTCACAACCACCCAGGAATAGCACTATGAACCCCATTTTACAGATGAGGAGACTGAGACCCAAAACAGAAGACCATGCCCTCAAGCTCACTAAGGGTGTCTGCAGAAAGGCAAAGCCTAGCAGTCAGCTCCTGGCATGCTCCTGGGATGACCCCTGTCTCCACATGCCCGCAGGCCCCTGATCAAGCTGCACATCATCTGGAAGAAAGATGGGGTGCAGGTATCCAGCGGCCTCAGCGACTACAACCGCCGCCTCACCATACCCAACCCCACTGTCAGTGACGCCGGCTACTACGAGTGCGAGGCTGTGCTTCGGAGCAGCAGCGTGGCCCCTGTGGTCCGGGGTGCCCGCCTGTCCGTGCTAGGTGAGCAGGGGCCACCGGGGCTCCCCAGAGGGCTGGGGCAGCATGGCTGGGTGGAAAGGACCACCACCTGATCCCAGCCCTGTCCTTCCTCCTGCAGAGCCCCCTCAGTTTGTCAAGGAGCCAGAGCGACACATCACAGCCGAGATGGAGAAGGTGGTGGACATCCCCTGCCGTGCCAAAGGTAATGAACACCGTGGTGATAGCGACAGGGACCCAGCCCCTTCTCCCCATCCTGCACCTCTAAAGCACTCCTCCCCCTCCAACATCAGAGCCCTGGAAACAAACAGGCCAAACTGTACAATCTCAGGCTGGAAACCAACCCTCATTACTGTAACTTGAACCTAAATTACTGTAATTTCAGCACAGGTGACAGGCCCAAATTGCCCTTTAATCTGAGAGCTGCCAGCCATGCCTCGATGACGGGATGCTCAGATGTGAATATGTCTCGCCCAAGATGGGTCTCAGGTGCCCCATCTGTTTGCTAGGGTGCCGCTTCCTCTCCTCCCCAATATTCCTGCTTGAACCCTCGTCACAGTCGCTGGAGAAATTTATCCTCCCCTCCTGCTTCCTGTTCTGCTGTGCCAGAGGAGAGCTGGGGGTGAGGGCTGGGATGGGAGGATGGCAAGTTCAAGGCCAGCCCCAGCAATTTAGCAAGATCCTGCTTCAAAATAAAGCATAAAGAGGACTGGAGATGTAGCTCAGTGCAGAGGCCCTGGGTTCAGGATCCGAGGGCAGGGAGGGCAGGGAGGGCAGGGGCAGATATAGCTGGGCAGGTTGGAGCACCACAGCGGAGGGGCAGGAATAACAAGGCCCCTCTAAGCCTCCACACTTCAGGTGACAGGTACCTTTCATGAGGTAACCATGTGTCCATGTTGTCGGAGCCGAAGAGTGAACAAGACAGCCCAACCTCTGCTGTTTAGGAGCTTATATTCTTGCCAAGGAGATGGGCAAACCGATAAGCAAATAAAGATTCCTTATTTCATCTCATCTAAGATGCCATGGGTTGTAAGAGGCCCCATTATTTTATGTACCACTAAGAAAGAAAAAAGGCTGCCAATTAAATCATGACAAGCTGTCGATTCTGAGACACATCCTAGTCTCCAAGATGTTGAAAAATGTGCACCCGTGCGCTGGATGGAGTATGGTAGTGCTGACACAGGTGCAGGGGTGCAGTCTTCGGGGGGCAGAGCTCGGGGTGCTCCTCTGGGGAAGCCACATCTCAGCAGAGACCCCAGGGGATGAAGGGAAGGAGAGAAGGGACCAGAAGAGACCTCAGAGAAGAGCTTGTAGACCAGGGAGGAAGGGGCTCCCAAGGGCCTCCCTCGGAAGGAGGAAACCTGGGCGTCTCTGCAAGCTGTTGCCCGACCACCCCCTACCCCACCTGGGGGCTCCCAGGGCCTCCAGGACCTGTGTGACATACTGAAAATTTAAAAAAAAAAAAAAAGAAAAAGAAAAAAATAGTTTGCCCACCCCAGAGTTTGTAAGGTCAATGGATCCTGGGATCTTTTCATTGTCCTGACATTCCTACCATATCCTCCATCATTTGAGAACTGTTCCTCTCACATCTTTCCTCCTCTCATCAAACCAAAAGGGACAGTGCTGAGAAGGCTCTAGAGTCCAGACACATATTTTCAGACTCCCGCCCTGGCTGCACTCCGGAATATCTCTCTGAGGCAGCTGGGGAGGGGCGTGAGGTGGGCTGAACTGGCCAGGTCCCCCACAGGTGTGCCGCCGCCCTCCATCACCTGGTACAAGGACGCAGCTGTGGTGGAAGTGGAGAAGTTGGCCCGCTTCCGGCAGCGGGGGGACGGCGGCCTGCAGATCAGTGGGCTGCTGCCCGACGACACCGGCATGTTCCAGTGCTTTGCTCGCAACGCGGCTGGCGAGGTGCAGACCTCCACCTACTTGGCTGTCACCAGTAAGTGGCCCCCTCTGTCGCACCCCTGAGTGCCCCAGGGGCACAGCGCTCCCCTAGCTGGGGGGCCCTGTGAGGACAGCATGTGCCATTACACAGCAATAGCTTCTCAGAGGCGCCAGGGCGCAGCATGTGCAGCCTGCATGCTCCCCAAGCACTGATGCCCCCAGAGTCCTCCCAGCGGCCCTGAAGACAAGGGCCAGTGCAGCAGCTCCTTCAGGGGAGGGGTCTTCAAACCAGGTTCCTACTGATCATGGGTCCATGAGGGGCCCAAGTGACCCCAGTCCTGGAGACAAAACCTGCTCAGGCCTCCAGGGAGAACCAGCAGTGCTCCAGGGTTCCGCTGACTTCTAAGAAGCTGGAGCCTCACTTTCGAGCTGATGAAGGATGCGTCCTCCCACCTCACCACAGAGGGAGGGAGCTGCCCTCTGGGTCCTCCGCTTCCCCTTAAAGGAGGACAAGGGTCCAGGCAAGGGTGGGGCTGGCATCGCCTGCTCCTTCTGTAGGGTGGGGTGCTCCTTCCCAACACTAGGGCCTCATCTGGGCACCTGCCAGGGAGCCCAACAGCACCAGGATGGGTAGGGTGGCAAGGGACCCTTCCTGGAGCACAGCTAATAGACCCACCTGCCTCTATCTGCAGGTATAGCCCCCAACATCACCAGGGGGCCCCTGGACAGCACTGTGATCGATGGCATGTCGGTGGTCCTGGCCTGTGAGACGTCGGGGGCACCCCGGCCAGCTATCACTTGGCAGAAAGGTAGGCAGGACAGGCCTTCGGCGGCTATGGCCAGTGGCAGTCTGGGTTCTGGAGCCGGCCAGGTTGCCTTCCCAGAGATGGTTACAAAGGCTGGGCACTGCACACCAAGAGATCTGTACCCAACACCCAGCAGAGCGTGGCACCCAGCAGGTATCATGGCCAAGGTGCAGGCAGGCATGTGCCGAGACCTGGAAAACAGTCCCACCCATGACACAGGTGCAGGTGACACCTTAGCTTGCAGGCCCACGGGGAGCCCCTCCACCTCCTGACAAGTGGGTCTTCAAAAGAGACCCAGCCCAGGGAAGCTGTCCCTCAGCCCCTGCTACACAGCCCAGGTATTCTCTTCCATCTCTGGGTGTCTGTCTCTGTCCCTCGTGCCCCACCCCCAGGCCAGGACACCACCACCACCACCCGCAAGCTGGGCACCCAGCTGTCTCTGCCCCCTGATAGGCGTCAGCAGGGGACACAGTGCTTCATCCACCCACCTCACTCTTACTCTTCCCCCCACCACTCTCCACCAGTCCCCTGAAAGTGACTCTGCAGATGCGTCCTGCAGCAGGCTGCCCATCTGCCCATCTGTCCTCACCACCTTGTCAACCTGCACCTCCCCTTCCCAGCCCAGCCCAGATGCCAGCTGCCTCTGAGGCTGTGCTGGGCTACTACCTGCCGCCATAGGGAGAACCTATGGCCTGGTCCCATGAGGGGCAGGCAGTGTGGTGGGCGGAGCAGCGCCTGGAGCCCAGGGCTATAGGTGCCTGTGACTCGGTGCCTCTCCCTAGCCCCCATCCCAGCACTTGGGGAGCGCAGGAGACACCACAGCAGCCCCCTTGTCGCCTTTAGGGGAGCGTATTCTGGCCAGCGGCTCTGTGCAACTGCCCCGCTTCACCCTCCTGGAGTCGGGCAGCCTTCTGGTCAGCCCCACCCACATCTCCGACGCCGGCACCTACACCTGTTTGGCCACCAACTCTCGGGGTGTCGACGAGGCCTCGGCCGACCTGGTCGTGTGGGGTAAGTGGCGGTGGCAGGGGTGGTGGGGGCCTCTCTGTGTCTGCACCAGACAGCCTTGCTCGCAGCTGCCCCCAGCACGGGTCAGCCACGGAAACACTGTCCCAGCCTCGCCACACTGCACCAGTGTCTGGCCAGGGCCTCCTTATTGGAGAGACGGTGACAAATTAATCTAGAAGCCGGGGACCAACAAGGCCTCGGGGGCAGAGATCGTGCTGTGCTTGGCGGAGTGGAGACGGCTTTGAGGCGGCGGACGAGAGCTGTTTTCAGATACTTCGCTGCAGAAATCAGGACGATGTTTTCCATAAAGGGCCAGGTAGTAAATATTTTAGGATCTGTGGGCCAGACAGTGTCTGTCACAACTACTCAGCTAACTTCTGTAGTGCCCAGGAAGCAGCCAGGGACCGCTATGAGCTGATGGGCCCGGCTGTGTTGTGGTGAGAGTTCAGTCCCCAGACAGGCCATTGGCCAGGCGTGGCCCCAGACAGTGGCCCCAGACAGGGGCGCGCCGGCCCCGCCTGCCCACACCCCAGCGCATGCGCACACTGGGGGCTGCCTGGCTGGCTGAGCCCGGGGCCTGGCAAAGCACCACGCTGGACATCGCAGAGTCCATTGTGACCCCGGCTGGTCGCCAACACGCTGGGCACATTGCTGCTTCTCCACCCTTTACATGGATTGATAAGGGAGCCCCTCCCCCATACATATAGGTTCCATGAATTACATTGTCGTAGAAGCGCACTGTTTTTGTTTGCAGCATGCGGATTGAACCCAGAGCCCTCACGCTGAGCGATCCCCCAGCCCCTTTTCATTATTTTGTACTGAGACAGGCTCTCAGCAAGTCGCTAAGTGGCCCAGGCTGAGCTGCCACAGCCGCACAGGCACGAACCACACACCCAGCGACATCCCTCTTTGTTAAATCTCCCAGGTCCGTGTGCACCAGATCTGCCTCCGCGCAGCCTCAGAGCCTGAGCCTCACGGAGCCAGTGCTCGCCCACCCTTGTCACCCCGGATTCTGGAGCCCCTGCCCTCCCCCGACCGTCATCTCCATCTTTCCTTTCAGCCCGGACCCGTATCACCAGGCCTCCCCAGGACCAGAGCGTCATCAAGGGCACCCAGGCCTCCATGGTGTGTGGAGTGATGCACGACCCGCGGGTGACCATTAGGTAAACTCCCCGCGCTGTGACCGGGGCTGCAGGCAAGCGAGGAGGGCAGGCCCTGGGGATAGTGGGGGTGGCTGGGAGGTAGGCATGGCCTGTGGGGCCCATGGAGAGAGCCCTGTGCGGGGCTGTAAGGAAAACAGAAAGGGGAGAAGAAACAGGGAAGCCAGGACAAGAAAGAAGCCAGCAAGCAGTGGGACTCTGGGACCTCTTTCTGGGGTCCAGGCCAGCGCTGCCAGCATCTCCCCGGCCCACAACCCTCTTTGAGGCCCTCTTGCAAGTTTCATTTGGACAAATTAGCCCAGGCCCCTTGGTGTCTCCACAGCACCGCAGGTAGGAGTACATCGAAGCAGCTCCAGAATATGGCAGGGGTGACCCCTGAGGTGACCCTTGCAGACAGGCGTGTGACGGGGGTGCCCAACCTGGGGTCACCCCTACTGTGGCAGGGGACTCGGCCTGCAGGTCACACTCCAGAAGCCCTGGAGAAGCTGGGTGAGGCTTCTGCGGACGAAGGAGCAGGAAAGATGTGAAGGCCCAGATCACCCCCAAGCTTGGGCCCAGGACCCGCAGGCCAACCTCCATGAAGCCTCAGGAACTCAGAGCAGGGGAGAAACACTCCCAGTCTCTTCCAGGAGCTCACAAACGCTGAGACATGGCTTCCTTGGAAGTGGGGACCGCCTGTGCGTGGCAGCTGTATCCAATGAGCAATGTCACTGTCAAGCCTCGGGCTCGGAAGCTGCAGGGCCCAGGCTAGGCCTCCTGGAGGAATGGCCTCCCCCAGACTACACATGGCAACTGCGTCCTGTAGCGCCACCTGGTGGTCGTTCGAAGCAGCACAGTCTCACCCTACAAGCTGAGACCCTGGGCCCTCGGTGCCCTAGGAGCCCAGCGCTTGGCCAGGCTGAAAAATAGCTCATGAAACATTCAACTTTCAGACTAGGCCTGGTGGTGCGCGCCTGTGAACCCAGCCCTGGGGAGGCTGAAGTAGGAGGATAGCTGTGAGCTCGAGGCCAGCCTGGGCTATATAGTGATTACAAGGCCAGCCTAGCTGTGTCTCTATCTAAAAAGAGAAGGTTCACCTTTGACCTTTTAGGGCAGTCCTCAGGCATCAGCCCTGAGACAAACGTGAGCCCCGAAACTGTGCACACAGAGATGGAATCTTGTTGGCAGATTAACCAGATTGTCCTCATTTCTGGGTTTATTAGATTTTTGTTTTAAACATTAATATACTAACTGTGAAAAAGTCCTCAGAGAAAACCCACATCGAGCACTTCTGGGAGTTTCAGTCCCAGATGTGATGTAGTAGCCATACTTTTAGCATCCATTAATTGAAAAACTCTATAATCACAAAGGGCTCTATTAATTCAGCGACACTTTAAATTGGTGTTTTATTTATAAAACGTCATCTACTTCTGCTTCAAAAACACACATTTTAGTCTTTCTCTAGATTTTTTTTTTTTTTTTTTTTTTTTTTTGAGAAAGGGGCTTACTATGTAGTTCAAGCTAGCTTTGATTTCACTTGATAGCCAAAGCTGGCCTTGAATTCCTGCACATCCTCCTGTCTCAGCCTACAGAGTGCTGGGATTACACGCGTGCGCTGCCACACCTGGCTTCCCTAGATAATTTTTGATGAACGTAGGGACTTGAGGGGTCTTGCGGGATTTCAGCAGACACTCCCAGGGCCCCACAGCGAGCAAGTGGGAAGGGCCTGTTCCAGTTTATGGGGAAGGGTCATCGCCCTAGCATGAAATGAACCATCCAGGACAATCTTTTCAAGATGGGAGGAGAGAGCAGAGTTGGTCCCTCACAGCCCTACACTGGCAGAGTGAATGCCTAAGGCCAGCCTGTGCCTCCCCTTCCAGCCTGGCTCCCCTAGACCGTGGGAACCTCTGCTGCCCTCCATCTTCTTGGGCTAAATTGGAGGAGAGGTGCCCAGAGCTCAGCATTCTTAAAGTCATAATAGAACCCTCTTTTTTCTTAGGAACTGCCACAGTGGCACATGCCGTGCCTGTAGTCCCGGCTACTCGGGAGGCTGAGGCAGGAGGATCTTTGAGCCCAACAGCTTGAGGCCAGCCTGGGCAGCAGAGCAACTCTAGATAAATAAATGACCCCATTCGCAGGTGGGCACCATCCAGTTCTGACTACATGTCCTGAGCATCATGCCGGGCCCAAGGGGTGAGGCAGAGAGCAGCACAAACGGTCAGCGGGCCAAGCCTCCAACATCATCCTAAAGGAAAATGCTTCTCTTTGCTGTCTGGACCAGATCTAGAACCTGAGAGTCCACTTATAACCATTAAGAGCAAATAATTTAACTTTTCTTTTTATGTACTTGATACGGGGTCTCACTGCGCGGCTCACAGTTGTAGTGATCCTCCTGTTTTCAGCCTCCCCAGCACTGGGATTACAGGCATGCGCCAGGTCTCAGAGACCGGCTCAGTGTGCCCAGCGGGTGGAGCCAGCTTGGCATGTGGTGATGGGGATCAAACCCCAGTCCCTGTGCTTGCCTAAGCAGGCCCTTAGTCTACTGAGCCATCTCACCAGCCTTTAGCATTTTATTATTTAACAAATCTTTTCCATCTTAGTAAAAAAAAAATAGAAAATGCAAGTAAGAAAAGAAATTAGGGAAAAGAAGAAAAGTTAAAGTATCTGTTCCCCTTAATTTTATTGACAGAAACAGTAATACTATTTGGGTGCCACTTTTTTTAGGTTTTTTGTTTTTGTTTTTGTTTTTTGGTTTGGTTTGGTTTGGTTTGGGTGTTTATTTGTGCAGGGTTTCACTATCTAGCTCAAACTTGTGGTGATCCTCCTATTTTCAGCCTCCCCAGCACTGGGATTACAGATGTGCGTCACCACGCCCAGATTCTGGATGCCACTTTATAAAAGCTAAAAATACATCGTTTGTTTGTTTGTTTGTTTGTTGGAACTCAGGCCCTTGCACTTGCCCGGGAAGTGCTTATTCTACCGAGCCATCTCCCCAGCCCCTCCATCGTGTATTAATCTGATTTTTCCCTGAAGTTACACAGTCATTCTGAGCTCCACTGTGTGGCTGGAATATGATTTATACTACTAGTTGCCTATTGCTGGATACTGTTTTGTTCTAAATTTTGCTAATAAGAGGACATCTGACTGTGAATGTCCTCACAGCTAAATATTTTTACACATTTTTGATGTGCTGAAGACCAACCTGAGAGCGCCCTGGAAAAAGCACTCATCAAAATTGTTAAACAGCCAGTTATAGAATTGCAGAGATTTTTTTTTGGTTTTGTTTTGAGACAGCATCTCACTATGCAGCTTGGGCTGGCCTTGTGCTCACTCTGTAGCCCCCCAGGCTGGTCTTGAACTTGCAGAGCTCATCCTACCTCCGATTACCAAGTGCTAGCACCCAGGGTTGCATGCTCGGGGTTTCAGGGGCTGGGAATTGAACTCAGGTCCTTGTGCTTGCCAGGCAGGTGTTTATGCCTCTGAGCTATCTCTCCAGCCCCAGCTGCAGGTTATTTTAGAGCATTTTTATCAGAAGTCTGATAGATTTAGGGTAGTTTTTCTTGTTTGCAGTTTTGTTTAAGAAAGATGCTGTTAAGAAAATATTCTGTTTTATAAGACATTGCCACCTCTGTCTTCCAAAGGTCTGGCTCTGTCTCACACTTCCCCCAGCAGATAGGGAGAGAGACCCTGGCTGCTGTGTCAGCAGTGCTGTTGTTGTTCTGGATGGTGGCCATTCGGGATAGCGGAACTGTCTGTCATTCACATTTCCCAGAGGCCCAGTGACAAAGAGCATCTTTTCTTTTCTTTTTTTAAATTTTATTTATGTGTGTGTGTGTGTGTGGCCAGCTCAGCCCACCAGGGGGCGGGGCTGGCTGGCATGTGGTGCTGGGGGATTGAACCGCGGTCCCTGGGCTTTGCTGAGCTTGTTCTAAGTAGGTGCTTTAGACCACTGAGCCATCTCGCCAGCCCCAAGAGCATCTTTTCATATGCATGTTTTCCTTCTGTTGCCCTAGGTTAGGGAGTAGGGGTCTGTCAAGAACTTTCTTTTCCTTTGGTTGAATTTGCAAGAGTTCTCTGTATATTTTGGATAGCACTCCTGTATCAGATGTTTGTCATCTAAATAACTTCCCCCAGTCTGCAGCTTCTTTTTTAATCTCCTTGATCCTATCTATTCAGAATCAGACATTTTTAATTTTAAAGAGGCCCAGCTTTCATTTCTTCTTTCTTTCTTTCTTTCTTTCTTTCTTTCTTTCTTTCTTTCTTTCTTTCTTTCTTTCTTTTTTGCAGAACCGGGGATTGAACTCAGGCCCTTGCGTTTGTCAGGGAAGTGTTTGTTCTACTGCACCATCTCCCCGGCCCCCTGCTTTCATTTCTTTCTCTGTGGATCTTGCCTTTGGTGTCTAAAACATCAGTGCCAGGCACCAGGTCTTCTAGACTTCCTCTGCATTACCTTCTAAGAGTTCTAGAGTCCTGCTGTGTACATTTAGGGCTGGGACCTTTTTTTTTTTTTTTTTTTTTTTGGTGGTGGCACTAGAGATTGAACTCAGAGCCTTCACACTGAGCCACATCTCCGGCCCTTTTTTCATTCTTTGGTTTAAGATGAAGTTTTATTAAGTCCTCAAGTTGTCCAGGCTGGACTCCAACTTGTGATCCTCCTGCCTCAGCCTCCCAGAGTGCTGCGAGAGCACACCATGCTGCACTCATTTTTAATGAAGTTAAATGAAAAGTGTGAGGTCTATAACCCTCACAGAGTTTTTTATTTGTTTGTTTATTTGTTTGCACATAGATGTTCATTTCCAGCACCATTTGTTGAGAGGGCTCCTTTATTGCATTTTCATCTTTATTTTTTGCTTTTCTTTTTGTTTTGTATGTATGAAATTGGTTTGTTAGAAAAACCAGGTTCTATAAAGACATTGGCCATTCTTTGAAACATTTCTGTAAAAGACTAGAGAGTAACTATTTTAGGCTTATAAGAACTACAGATTGGGGGCTGGAGAGATAGCTCAGTGGTCTAAGCGCCTGCCTTTCAAGTACCAGGACCCAGGTTCGATCCCAAGTACCACATGCTGTGCCAGCCCAGAGAGCGTGGTGATGCATGCCTCTAATCCCAGTGCTGGGGAGGCTGAGATAGGAGGATCATACAAGTCCAAGATGTGTAGTAAAACCCTGCACCAAATAATTATTTTTTTAAAAAATTAAAGAACATACAATTGTTTGGCATAATTACTCAACTCTGTAGGGCAAAGCAGCCATGGGCAATATGTTGGTCATGCCTGTGTCCCAATAAAACTTTATTTATACAAACAAGCAGTGGGCCGGGTTGCTGACCCCAGCATGGAATCGCCCACATTGTGGATTTGGCTAGCTATGTCCTCCTGGGGCTAACTTGTTCTGATAGCCCCTGTATTTCTAATTAGATCTGGTAATTACGAGTTGGTGGCTTTGGCACATCTTTCACAGGCTTCATATGCTTTCTCGAGCAAAGAATATGGTTTTGTTTAAAAAGACAGTTGGGATATTTAAGCAGGAATTACTCTCTGCCACTAGGTTTGCTTTTAAAGAAAATTTTGCCCGTCCTCAACATTGGCAATGTTGGGTGATTCTTTTCTAGGTAGAGAGATGAATGGAAGGTGATTATTATTGTGGATTTGTGAAAGTGCACTGTAAAAGCCTTAAAAATTAACTCAGCAATTTTACTGCTAATAATTTGTCCTTTGGGGAGTGAGGTGGAATGTGTGGAAATATTTTGCCATAAGCATGTTCAGCTTAGCATTAGCTGTCATATCAGGAGGAAAAAAAGAAGCTTAGTTAAATGATGGACAGTCACATTAAGACGTCCTGCATCTGATTTTTTAAAAAATGGTGCAGAAATGTCGTATTTAGAAAACGGCATGAAGCTAGGCATGGTGACACATGCCTGTAATCCCAACACTTGGGAGGCTGAAGCAGAAGGATTGCTGTGAGTTCCAGAAAGCCAGAGTTCCATAAAAAGTTCAAGGTCAGCCTGAATTACACACTGAGACACTGGCTCAAAAAAAAATTATTTTTATTTTTTTCTTGTGGAACCTGGGATTGAATTCAGGCCCTTGCACTTGCCAGGAAAGCACTTATTCCACTAAGCCATCTCCCCAGTCCCGTTTTTTTTATTTTAGAAAAGAGTATGTGGTCTTTTGTTAAGTAGAAAAGACAGCTTTAAAGACAGAATGTAAGGATGGATGGATGCTAGGTGAATCATTGGGTGGGTGGGCTAATGAAGGAAAACATGGATGGAAGGAAGGATGGATTGGTCCATCAATCAATCAATAAAAGAGTCAATCACTAGAAAGCATCAATGTACATGTGCTGTGTCAGCAAAAAAGGTTGATCGCTAGCTTCCGTTGACCTTGGAAGTATTAGCCAAGCGCGACCCACCCAGTGTTTTGTGCTAGCTCCACAAATTCACAGCAGCCTCATGAAGTGGGCAGTATGGAGCCCCCCCCTAAGTTACAGATGAGAAGCTGAGAACCGCAAAGTTACCCCAACTTACCCAAGATCACAAAGCTGCTCCGAGGCCCGGGCAGCCTTGAAGTGGGCGTCTGACCTTGCAAGGCCTCAGCGCTGCCGTCCACTGGCTGTCCGTGGGGCAGGAGAAACACCTGCAGGACAAGATTCACGCACGTTAACCTTGGCTCTCCAGCGCTGGAGAACGCCTATATTTTCTTGGTTCTTTTCCTTTTTTTTTTTTCCTTTTTTAATCTGGGTTTCCTGACTTTCACTCAATTGTTCCTATTAAACTAAGCTCAACAGGTGCCAGGGAGATGGCTCAATAGAATAAGCACTTCCCTGGCAAGCTCAAGGGCCTGAGTTCAATCCCCGGTTCCAAAAATAAAATAAAAAACTCAGCTCAACAATATTCCATTCACTCTTGCTAACACTCTCACGTTCTCTGACCCCCAGAGAGTCCTGGGGCTCACACCTCACCCCCTCATCCTCCAGGTGACTGGGGGTCTCAGGCACACCCCATTCCTCAGTCGCCCTGAGCCGATACCCAGGCCAGACTCTGGGGGGACAGCGCGCAGGGCACCTCCCCGTCAGGGCCAGCCCTCAGGCACGTGCATGATAAGGATAACGGCTGCATTTCCTCCAGAACAATTCCAGGGCAGATATTTCTTGTTGTCAGGCATGGGCCTGTGTGTAATTTCTCAAGTCCCCCTTTGCACCGACTGACCGAAGCTAAAGTGATTTTTTGGACACTAAAGTCAATTTGTCAGAGTGATGCATCGATCTAATGATTTTCCTCATAAAACTAATTCCGAAATGTAGTCTGTGTGGAAACTTTAATTCTTTTGCAGCCGTAATCTTTTCCACCTCTTCGGGAACACTCCTTTTGCTGGCTCTTCTGCGTTGGCTGCTCTGCAGTGGCATCTGGCCAAAAGCAACAACGCTTTGACCCGGGCCTGAACTGCAGGTGTAAATGACCAATAATGACTTAATGTGTGGCCGCTCCTGTGCACAGCGCCCTGCGGCAGGAGTGATGACGCCTAGGCCCTCGCGGAGCCAGTTTCCTGCCCAGTCAGAGCCACCAAGGCCTGGGGTTGCCCCCTGCCCATCGTGTGTGTGTGTGTGTGTGTGTGTGTGTGTGTGTTTTAGGGAAGGGTCTACAGGGTATTCAAGGGTCTCACTACTAGATCAGACTCGTAGTGATCTGCCTATTCACAATCTCCCTGGGATTGCAGGGATTGAGCTGGGATTGCAGGTGCACACCACCACGCCCAGTCTCAATTGCCATCTCAGCACACCCCAGGAGCGGGGCAGGCTCGGGGATTGAACCCCCAGCCCCTGGGCCTGCTTGCCTGCTTGCCAGCGCTTTAATCCACTGAGCTATTTGCCGCCCCTGCCCATCTTTGGTGCTGTCTTTCCAGGAGGAGCTTCAGGTTCCCTCTCCCTCTCTCCCTCTGCCTGCTGACGGGCACTTCCTGCTCCTAGGTACGTGTGGGAGAAGGACGGAGCCACCCTGCCCGTGGAGGGCAACCCGCGCATCCGCCTGGATAAAAATGGCTCCCTGCACATCACACAGACCTGGTCGGGGGACATCGGCACGTACACCTGCCGGGTGCTCTCGGCAGGGGGCAACGACTCCCGCAGTGCCCACCTGCGGGTCAGGTAAGGGCCACGGCCACCCCTCTCCCTCGTTCACAGCACGAGGCCCTGTGCGCTACGCTTTCACGTCAGGTCTCCTAGGACAGGGTGGCGCTTTGTATTTCCACCTGCCCTGCACTGCTTGCGTCGCTGCCTGAGCTCCATGTCCTAGCAGATCAGGGGCAGCCAGATCCTATAGTGCGGATCCATGCGGCAAGGGATCTAAGTGTTCTTACCAGAATCTAACCCTGAAACCATCAAACCCCATGCAGAGCCCAGCCTGGCCCACGAAAAAAATTGTCTCCCACAAAACTGGGCTCTGGTGCTAGAAAGATTGGGGAACACTGCTCTAATCCCCACACAGGGCCTACCCTACCTGAATGTTGGGGGCCTGACCCATGACCCTAAACCCCTCAGGCAGCTCCTCCCGTATGTCTGTCCTCCAGGCAACTGCCCCACGCTCCTGAGCACCCAGTGGCCATGCTTAGCACGGTGGAGAGACGGGCCATCAACTTGACGTGGGCTAAGCCCTTCGACGGGAACAGCCCCCTGATCCGCTACATCCTGGAGATGTCAGAGAACAGTAAGGTCCCGGGTCCCTCGGTTCCCCAGCCCAACCTCTGGGTTCAGGGCCTCTGAGCAGCCTGGGCTTGCTCATCTGTATCCGGAACAATGGCCTCTGCTCTCAGGTCACGGTGACAGCCCCAGAAGAGTGTGCAGGAGGTGCTTACAGCAGGGCCTGGCAGAGCAGTGGCCTCAAAGACAGTGGTTATTATTAGTTTTATTTCTCCAAGGTCCAAGCAGGTATAATATAAATGGTGTTTTCCATGCAGTTTTCCCTGAGCACATCAATTTGAGGAAAAAGATGAAGGCACCTCAGTTCCCATGAGCCTCTGCTTCCTTCTGTGCTCTCCAGCCCCATCTTAGTTCCCATGAGCCTCTGCTTCCTTCTGTGCTCTTGAGACCCATCTTAGTTCCCATGAGCCCCTGCTTCCTCCTGTGCTCTGCAGCCCCATCTTAGTTCCCATGAGCCCCTGCTTCCTCC